TGCATTTGTTGCTTGATGGGAGCCTGTCAATTAGAAAATCAGCGAATATTGCAGCCGTTCTCTACAAGTCATTGGTCATTCTTTTCACAACTGCATTCCTAGGTCAACGGGCTGCTCTACTTGAACCTGCCGCTGGCGCAACTTTTGTGGATTGAGCGTGCGCCTTAACGGGCATGGTGTCAAAGGGGGAATGAGTGCAAACACAGTGTATACAAAGTGCACATTGCAGCGTGCATTGCAGAGTGCATTGCAGAGCAGCTTTGGACCTACAAGTTCCATGCTGCTAAGTAGGACCACTCGAAAGCAGGGTCGCCTTCCCCCGACGCAGAGGTGACACAGAGATTTGTCCAGTAGGATCCTAGACGGAGGCCACTTTTTCAGACAGCTTCAGAATGAAGAGTCAAGGAGATCCACGCACGAGCCTTGGAGATTTTACCCGACTTTGAGGGGCTTGGAGGAGGCGAGAGGGAGAAAAAAGGAGAGATAGAGAGAGAGAGAGAGAGAAAGAACGGGTGTCCACTGCGGCGTCTCTCCACGCCCACTTGGTTTGCCCCGAGGGCTGCTGCGAGCAGACGCACTGTGCTCCGGCGGCACCGACCAGGCCCGAAGCCTGCGCTCATTGATGTAGCATCATGGAAATGCGCAAGCCCGGGACCCTAGACCCTAACCCAAGGCGAGCTTCTTATGAGTTGCATTGCTTGTCCAACATATACGACGTTGCATGGCGCGTCTCCGTAGCACCTTCGGCCGTGAACCCCGATCCGTTATACTCAACCCTGCCCGACCTGACGGGACTTCACGCACTAGCATATCACGCATTGAGGTAAGCTTCCCTTACTACTTCTCAAGTTTGGCATGCGAATATGTCGTCGATAGAATCGACGGGTCCCCTCTAGTGATTTAAGATTTACGATCTATGATCTTATATCCCAATTCGAAGTATGATTATATGAATTTGATTATATAATCAAATTCCAAATAAGATATCTTCAAGAATCATAAAATTCGTAAAATATCATATCCAGTCAGCCCGCAGCCCCACAACCGCAACCCTTCAACACCCAAAATCACCCAGCCCCCACCACATCCGACACAACCCCCCAAACAATTACAGCAAAAGCAAGAAACAAAACCCCAAAATACGACAAAACCCCGTACACAAACCCTATACAATTTCTATTAACCCCCAAAACCCTAAACTACAAAACCCTAAACCCAACATATGCCGAAAATTGCGGGAGTTGTTTATTGGGAGCAAACGTCTCTCTCAATGAAGATTTCATAATGAATTGGTGCTTTTGGGAGCACAAGTCTCTTGCACCGAAATTTTCAGATCCGGATGTTTCCCAAAATTCCTAAGAGTTTTAGACAATCCCCCTGCAAGACCCTCCCAAACAACCAAAATTGACCGGAAAAGGAGGCGGGGCAACCGACAAAACGACCGCAGAACGAAAATAGAATCCGGGCGAGATCAAATTTATTACATTCTTCCTGACCGACACACAACCACAAAATCACGATCCTCAATTTCAACCCACTCTCGCGACCCGAGACTTCTCCATCAAAAGCTCCAACCACGCTCGGCGAACACTCTATTTTGAAGGACAACTCTCATCATCCTCCAGATCTCCCACCAATTCAAACCAACGATCCCATACGTCCCTGTGATTTATAACGGTACATAATAGACCAAATGATCTTTAAAGAAAATGGGAACGATGAATATTTCTTGAACGATGAGAAATCAATAAGAACGAACTCCCATGGATCAGACGATTCCGTCCCGTATTCATCAATACACCTACGATTTCGGGATCAATACCTAAGATTAATTCCCCCCCCCCAAATCTCCCCATGGATTTAATTCTTAGACCCTAATCCCCGAATCCGAAACCCTAAATACTAACCCCCCAAGCACGCTAAAAGGCAATTTGAGAACCATCATTTCGGAAGAACTTAAAATCAGACATAAATATCGAAAAAGAGAATTATAGATAAGTATTGATGTAGATACAAACAGATAGAGATTAAGATTGACACATATATAGATTGAGATCAACTGGTAGAAACAGATGAAGAAAGCAAAAACAGTCATGATACAGACAACGACACAAATAAAATGGAGACAAACGTGATCCTATAAGAACAACAGATTTCCTGCACTTATTACGAATCCCCCATACAACCCCCAAGTAGAGGAGAATTGGCAATCATCCGGCTGCCGCAAAGGCAAAACAACACGATCTAGCCCACACGTTTGTTGGACGTCTGGGTTCGCCAAACGCGAAACGGTCGTCTTCTTGGGCAACGATGTCGCCATTGTCGTCGTTTGTTGACGTCTTCGTTCGCGAAAGGCGCTGTTGGACGTCGGGGTATGTCGGCGTTCACGACGTGCGAAACTGTCGTTGCTTTCGGTGTTTTTGGAGGACATCCGGAGCATTCCGGAGCTTTGGTGGCTCGAAAGTCGACTTCGGTAGTACAAGCGTAGTACGCCGAGGACATCCGGACGTCCAGTCGACTTTTGTAGTACAGAGCAAGTACATGGAAGACATCTAGAGCTCCAGTGGCTCGAGAGGCGAGTTTTGGAGTACAAAGGTAGTGAATGTTGTCTGGAGCGCTTGGCGTATGGTTGGAGGACCCACATGGTCTCTCACTGTTTGGGGTCTACGGCTGGCAAAATATACATATACATATACATATACGTATACGTATACATATACATATATACATATGTATGCTCATATATTCCACACACATTTTTGGACAGGGTGGGAATTCGGAACACACGTTGTTCTGCTCACGACTGACTGCTTTTTGAACATGTAAGTGCCAATCCTGCGTTGCTTGGACACGGTGCCAACTCTTTGGCCCCTTCGCGAGAGGCAGCTGAGGACGTTTGACAAGCAAGCCCAAGGGTTGTTGGAGGTGGTCTACACCAAAGGCTGCCCCTCAAAGTCCTTGCAATCGAATTTGGTCAAGCCATGCCACTGCAGTGCATCTACCGTTGCTTGCATGAGTTGCTTACATTCTCGGCTCGCTCGCTCTACCATTGCGGCATTGAGCAAAGACTACAGCGAGACTTTCGCGCGATGAAGAATCAAGCTTGGGCTCCATATGCGCATGGCTAGAATCACCTACGCCTAAGCCTGGCATTGCCAGAGCTGCTACGTATCAAACAGGTCGCATCTCCTTGCAAATCCACGCTGGCATCTTCATGCGCTAGACAAGTGTTAGATGATGACTTTCTGCTAGATAAGTGTGTTGTTGCCATTGGAACGATCCAACCTGCTTCGCTCCTATGCGCTTGATTTCGCATCAGAGCCCGCATCTTCGATGACGGTTGGATCGTTGGATACAGCCCCATCTTTGGGCATGGGTCGCCTGGCCAGAGGCAAGTGACGTCGCCGAACAGGCCGAGAACTTGCATCGATATTCATTATCTGGTTCCAGACAAACATGTACGTGTACCTGTGTATGTATGCATGTGTGTGTATACACACAGGCGCGTCGACCATGAAGAAAAGATGGAGAGCAGATCGATGGCTTCTTGTGATAGCTTGACACATTGCATGCAGGAATGTCCACCTATGCTTTGGTGAGCACATGAAGCACAAAGAACTTGCTCGAATCCCAAGATGGCATCGAACGACTTCCTTCCTTGCACGGTACGTGATAGGAACAACCGGGGGCCGTGCCGCTTTGGACCCTCCTTGAGCCGCTTCATAGCTTTCCTTCGGCCTCATGGAGTTCGTTGGTTGTGGTCCCATGTCCGAGAAACTTACTGTCACACTCGAAAAGCAACAAATCAGAGGCCTCACTTTTGTTGCACATGCGAGCCACTGTGCAGCCGCAACGGTCTTTGGCATCCTTCTAAGTTGACTCTAACCTTGACAGCTACCAGAGCACTCTGGGCATGGCTGTCCAGGACCCACTGCACCCGGCATGCCATCTTTGGCCATGCTCTTGATGCAGAACTTTTCAACGCACCGTCAACTGAGGGAGCTTATCGGGGGTGTGGGTTGCTCTCCGCCAACAGTTCTGGCGGCGTGCAAAAACCCGTACATGGACGTCCTCTGCACATGGCATCTGGCCGGCAGAACATAAGACAACTTGCTGCGAAGCATCTTCTTGATTCTGCCACATGCAGGGGATGTCTAGCCAGATTGCATTTGCAGGGAAAACGCGCCAGTCCCTTTCAAAGGGCTTGGTTCCGAGAAGCAAAATTGTGTTCACGGTTGCGGCTCCGTTCCCCGGCTTGAACAAGCAACATTCCAAACAGGATTAAGGGTTTGGGCACCCGACGCAACGTCACCGTAATCTCGATCAGACAGATTTGTTTTCTTGCGCTCTCTGGGCACAAAGGCATATCTGCACCGCCTGAACGGCCATTTTGTCGCTCACAGCTCTGATCTTTCATCTGGCAGGGCAAGCAGTGAAGTTGCATTACCAGCTATGTTGTGCGAGCTTCTTTGATTCATTGAATTATGAGCACATCTGCCTCGGAATACCTATGCCCACATGAGAAAGCACGAGCTTCTGCGAGGTTGGTCCACTTTACTGCTTGACTTGTGCACCCGTTGCGATGCACCCAATGCCCAGTGGCCTGCAAATACTTTCGCAATAGCTTCCTTATTGTTGCAAAGCGGAGACCCGTGACATCCATGAAGCATGATCATCTGAAAGATAGCCAGCACTCTTTCAACTGAGCGTCTCGTTGCTGTGGCGTTAGGGTCTTCGGGAACTCCACAGCTACCTGAGGCCAGCCGTTCACACGGAAATCAACAAACCCACATGTCGTGCACATGTCGTAGTGTGCTGGTTCTTGGTCAGATTAACTCTCTTCGGTCTTTCTTGGAAGTTCCTGCGCCTTCACGTGCAAATCGCCAAAGCTTGCAGGATCGTCGCGGTGCGGCATTCCCTCACTTCGTTTCTTTAGCACCTGAGAAGCTCACACAAAGTGGACCACCCTGCAGCAGTCTGCACGTGGCCAATGCAGCCTGCAGGTGCTTCGTCACGTCGGTCTGCTTGATTTCTACTTCATGTCCTCGTCAAAGATACACAAATCTAGCAAGAGGAGACACGTTGTTTGATGTGCAGCTGCTTGACGTAGGACCCTACAAAGGCCATGAAGGCAAATTTGCCCGTGCGCATTATGCAGCACCTGTTTTCACAAACCATGTGCCCGAAGAGTGGTGATCTCCTGAATGCCATGCTTAAAATCAAGCTTTCTAACCTCCCCCCACGGCCACAGGAGATCGGTCCATCCAAGTGCTGGATGGTTCTCGACCAGCCCAAAAGGGACTCTCGAAGGCTGATCTTCAAGTCCTGGTGCTGGAAAGGGCTTTAAGCTTTGAGATGGATGTTCACCCCTAGTGCCATTGTAACCGATGCTGACAAAGCATTTTTGAGGCCCCCGCAGTGTGCAAATCACTGCCCCGACGATCGAAGCGTGGGTGCTTCTTGGCCTGGAGTCGGTACCGATGACTTTCCCAAGGAGACCGCACTATAATTGCAGGGCTGGCGGAACTCTACTTAGCTGGACAATGCCGCTTTGCCTTCAGCTTGAGGATGACGCTTCCTGGAAGCATGCCAGGCCGCTCCTCACAGCTCAGAACTGCCCAAACAAAAGTGCAACACCGAGGCATTCCACGCCGGAGTGTACATGTACTGTACAAAGAGTGGATACTGTTCCCGTCGGTAACCGCTAGGCCCCGGCAGGTGCGCTTTCGGACGCACCCTCACAGATCAGTGCATTTGGTTCTACAGGTAAAGTGTCTTTACGCCTGAGCAGGATGACTTTTGGCTTGTTCACCACCTAATGGTGCACAGAAATCTCGTATGCTGGAATTCTGGCTGGTGATTGAAAGGCTCCTCTGCCTACGCTCGTCAGGAGTTGGCTCCACTGCTATTTTAGTCTTGAAGACGAAGAGTTCCGTTGTCGGCATTGTTGTTGAGCATGAGACTATGGTGAAATGGCTGCAAAAGCACTCAAAGGTTTGCGTCTCATGTTGTGGTTTCTACCTCTGCCTTTTGCTGCATTCATGTTTTGCAAAAGCTTGTGCGAGAACCTTTCAAGAGTTGGCGCCCACCTTTTGAAGCCACCGCTGCTAAGAACGGATGATGTACGGTGGCTCCGCAGGTAGTAGGGAGTACAGATGAGGTAGTAAAGGTGGTGGCGGCAGGAGCAGCAATGGCAGTATCAACAGTAACAGATGCGTGGTCGTTCTCATGGTGCTCGTGGTGTTGGATGTGGCGCAAGCTTCAATTTCATGGTTTTGTTAGTTTTGTTCGGGCCGGTGCCATGGTGTCGTGGATTCGCCGCTCGCCATGACTCGATCGTGCTCCTGTGTGACTGAAGACCTGCGCATTCCGCGTTCTCGCTTCATTCTCAGATTGTTGCCCCTAGCTCTTGTAGCTTTCATGGGAAGCGGGCTTACCCTTTTCAGGGATCATGTGGCCAAATCGACCCCAGGCCAGGAAATGTCAAGACATCACGGGCCGTCTCTAGTTCTGGCTGGTGCCTCTGCCATGCGTGGAAAAGTGACGGTGTCGCCACTGGCCATGCCCTTCCTTGGCAGCAGCAAACAACCCGTAGCGGAGAACCAGCGCACCTCCCAATGTGACATTTTTCAGGGCTTCGCCTGTGCAACCCCCACATCATGCATCGAGGCGCGTGGCAGAAATCACTGTTGACGCTAAGTCTCGATTACAATTCTGTTGAGATGTACGGCCGCTTCAGGCTCTGTATATGCATCTGATGCAAACCATCGGTGCTACCAAGTGGCTCAATGTGCACATCCAAGGGTGCATCTATTTCCTTGCATTTCTCCTGGCGATCAACACACGCTCCTGAAGCAATCTGGAGCTCGATGACTCTGAGGACTCCCGCAAAGATAGATGGTTCAGTGATGGTTCACTCCGCCATACTCCGTCTCCCCTTCCCGCGCCCCTGCTCTTTTTGTGCAAATGCGGCCAGCTTCGCCTTGCTAGGCACTTCCTGTTGCTGCTGGGTGAGGAAGGGGCCCATCTGGACCTGCACCACCTGGCTTTGGGCGGCAGTTTCTCCGGAACGCGACTCGGCAATGCAAAGGGGCTAGGACTTTGAGGGGATGCAGCATCTTAGCCTCTGCTAGCATGGCCTTTCTTGCGACTAGTGTTGGACAAGCCTTATGATGCGTAAGATGCGTAGTCCTGCAGGCGGAGAGAACTGATGAACCAGGCACCTTGATCTGGTTCTTGCACTTCCGGCAGCCCTGCAATGGGCCGGTGGTGGGTAGTGGTAATTACACTTGGTCCATACAGCGCGGGACTAGCACAGAGCATCCCTTTGCGGAAATAGAGAGAGAGAGAGAGAGAGAGAGCAGCCCAGGACACCTATTATCACCTATTGTGTCCATTGCGATTAGCGATCTGCTGACAAGCCTTAAACTAAATATGGCGGAAAACTTGCAGCACCCAGCAGGCAGGACAAAGGAAAACACTTAAAAAAGAGGCCAAAAGAAGAGCGTGGAGAGCCTGCAAAAGGCACCAAGCAAAAGGCACCAAGGCTCGCCTTGCAGTTTGGCGAGTTGGGATTCTTCCTGCAGCCTCTGCAAACCTTGGGCTGCCGCTTCTTTTTGTCGAATCTACTATCTTTGGTGAACTGGTGCTGCGGAAGAGTCTATGGGGAAATTCGCAAAGCCGTCAAAACGCGCAGCGACATGCAAACAAAGCTGTGCATTCGCATTCGCATTGCCATCCCTTTCCTCCGGGGTCGCGGCAATCCCTCGCTTGACCTCACGTTGCGGGCTTTGTGTGGCTTCCCACGACTGTGCTTTCCATTTGTCCGTAGGTGATGTGGTCAGCTTCGACCATCTTCCGTAGATGAAGAATGCTTTTCGGACAAGTGGCCGTGGCACGGAACTCTGTGCCCAAGTAGAGGCTCTCAAGATCCACATCGATTTCCTGAACGAAGATGCTGTCTATGTCTCGTTGGATGGACATGAATCCAGCCCCGAGCCAAATCTCAGTTTATTCAGCGAGCGGCGGAGTGGACATCATTGGTTGACTCTACCTTGCCCTTCTCAGAATCCTTGACGGCAGCCATGCCACCTCCGAAGACTGCAATGTTCTGCACGCGGCTGTGGCATTTCGTCACGAACCTGGCCTGTGTCGTACAGAATCTTCTTGTCAGGGTCATTGAGGACCTCGTACGCATCTCCTTACTGTTCTGGCTTGCGGTCCGCTCAGAAACAACCATGTTTTGTCGTATAGGTTTGGCACGATGAGCCTCGTGTCTGGTATGTCGAGTCAATGATCCTGTATCAACCGAGGGTCGGATCTCGGCGAACTTGGCTTTGGAGGCCTCGTCCGGGTTCTTGTCCGGATGATACCTTGATGGCAACCACTCGTACAACAGTGCGACAAAGGTCGAAATCGAAGTCAACCATGTAAATGCCCACGTTTCCTTCACTAGTTGTTCAGGTGACTTAGATGGCAAGTCGGCAACTCTCTACTGTCCGACAAGGTGCTGAATCGAGAGCTTACGATACACCTAGCGGCGGCTGAAGGCACACTGTGCTTCGAGTCAGATTGGACACTGACTTTCCGAGAGTGGGAAGAGCATCTCCATCCATCTGCTGAGCCTTCTTGATGCTCGCTTCATCAGCGTCTTCGGCGAGGCCGAGGATTTCGTACAGATCCTGCAGAGTGATAGCAGAAGGATCCTCTCCTTTCTCACATGGTCAATTGTCGTGTGC